AAAAAGACAGAAAACCTAACCTTCAACCCAAACAGGTTCTAGAAAAACAGAAAGTTTCCTTTATTCAACCCAGATTAAAAAAAAAAAAAAAAAAGGCACACCACAGCCTAAAATTCCCATTTAAACAAAGATATAGCAAAACTTCAAGATAAAAAGCTTCTGTTGTGGCTAGTAGCTGACAACACAGATCTCTGGAAGAAAGCAGCTATTCAAGGTTCAGTTTATGCGTTTACATCTCAAGAGAATAAGATGCCCAAAAGCATGGAATATGAAACACTAAGTAAAAAACTAGCATTCGGTATTCCTTGACCTAGTTCTTTTGGGTTTTGTTCATTTAGGAAAAGTGCAAAGACGACAGAAACTACCTCCAAGTTCAGTGTTTCACACCTTCCATATCCTACACGTCTCACTGTATAAAAATCAAAATACATCACAAAAATACCATTTAAAACAACTTCACAAAGTACACTGTAGATTGTCTATAATCCTGAAGAGCAAAGAATGCCTATCTCCATTAACTATAAATAAAACCAACACTTCATCTTGCAGTGTGTATTTAAAGAAACATATTTCAATGTTAAGATTTAAAATTTCAGAACTATTAAAAAAAAAAAACACAACAAACAAACAAAACCACCAAACTAACATACAGGAAGAATAAGTCATCCATGATGCAAACACCAGGATCATCAAAACACTTCTGTAAGGTACTAACTGCTTTCAGGCCAGAACACCCACCAGTCTGTGCTGCACTTTTTCAGCCAAGCCTAATGACTGAATTATGTGCACACATAATTTGTGTGCAGAGAAATTATCTCCTCTACCAGTCTTAGGAGACTATTTTTGTGGACGAGTCAGAGGGAGGAGGAAAATTAATATTATGCAAGCGTTACAAGTTACTAAATTGGAGACTTCGTCCAGAACTGTAACCTTCACTCCTAGGCAGCTTCCAAGGGATGAACAGCACAGAACAAACGTACAGCAACGCACATGAGCCCAGAGTCAGAAAAATATGACAGCACTAATGCAATTAAAACCAGGAAAGGGATGTAGAGCTTGTCTGGGTTGATATTATGAGTGTCAACAACAGTAGCAAAGCTTAACTTACCATAAACCTCTATTATAAGTGAGGCTTTCCAGAAGCTTTCAGAGAAATGAAAGAACAGATTCTGCAATTCCTGCTGGCTTGTGATGTACTATTTTCATAATTTTCAGAAACACAGTTATACACAAGATTTAGATGCCTTCATGAAGGTAACAGATAAAGAGAATCAATATTTCAAAAAGAAAGCTGCTTCTTACAATCTCCTTAGTGTAATGCTTTTTGGTTTATCTTGCCTTTATCACAAATATTTAAAGATCCTTATATACTTGTTACAATGATGCTTTGCTTTAAAAAAATCCAACTAATATAAAGATAGTTTTCTTATAGATATATGAAATGCCTGTGTTAAAACAAAATTTGGGGGAACAAATCAGCATAGAACAGGCCAATAAATTTCTATAATGGAGAATTTATTTTGCATTATTTTACTACACCTTTCTATACAAAATCTTCCATCTTCCAGATGAGAATGGTAAAACAGGGATCTCAAGGGTTTATCAGCTGTTCTTGACAGAGCTACAGAAAGCTTTGCACAAGGAAATACTTTCGAGAAGCAGATAGAGGCAGTTATTGTACGTTTTTTGGTGTACAGAATGTTTCCAAACTACAAGCGTTTGTACATTTTCTAGACTTCGCAGAGCTTTCCTACAGGACATTAAGAAGATTTTACCTAACACACTAATAAGAGAGGAGCCAAACAGAACGACTAGTCGACAATATCAGTGATTTAATTTGTAGAACACAAAGCAACACATCAGCAAGAGCACTGCAAGTCTTATTTTAGCAGCAGTGTTCACTCTTGGCTGCAGAATCACAGCTGGCACCTGGAACTCCTAAAGCAATAAGCATGAATGATCAGACTGGTATGCTGAGGCAACAGGTCACTTTATTAAAGGGCAGAAGAATAAACACACCTAAATGCTACCTACTAGAACCTAAGGAAAACTACTAAGGGAAGGGGAATATGACTTAAAGCTGGGAGAAGAGGAAAAAGGCATCAAAATCTAACACCATCAAGGGGAAAGATCCATATTCTAGGCTGGCAATAATCTGTAACAGAGCACATAGTACACTTACTAGGAAATCTACAATACCAGTTGAAGGCTTGGACTCAAAGCACAGTTCTGGAGTTTACAACAGCCTTTCTTCCCACACATTAAAAAAAAAAACCCTAACTAAATTCCAAAGCCGGCAGAATAGAACCTTGACATACCTTCTGCCACTACAACTGTATCAAAGAGCCAAAGCATAACGCTACTTCCAGAGCGAGCTAGACTACACATCAGAACACCTAATCCTCAATTAGGAAAGCCTGAAAATTCAGATACATCATATTTTCATTGAAATACTTGCTAAGAAGTTTCATTTGAAAATGAGTGGTCAACACAAACACAAAAATGCCAAAGCTTCCCAATGGCTTACAAGCTATTCATGAGCGAACACTCTCCACCTTTACAGAGCACTTAACACGCCACAGTGACCGTGTATCTGACCATTCTAAGTAAATATGTTCCTCGTTGGCAGATGCACAGCAATCAAGCAGCAGGAGTCAATAACAGAGTTCCAGCAGAGCGTAACAGAGGTGCCTGTATAGTAGGAACCAATTTGCAGTGTTCGGGCAGCAATCTGTATTCATAACAGCCAAGTCCTGCATTCCCATCCTTTTCCTGCTCACCACAGCTATCATCTCACTCAGGGTCTTGTCACAGGAACAAGGTATAAGTACAAAGGGACAACATTCATCCACACTCTCATTTCCCAGCACACTTCCCAGACATATAACAATACTCATTGGTATGACCTCCACTGTACTCAGCAGAAACAAGTGAGGAGGAAACTCCACTACATAAGTCAAAGCTATGGGGGTGATGGGAGAAAGGCAAAGTAAACATGACTTGTACCTTACATAACTTGTCTCACTGTGTCAGAAGACGAGCAGAAAATCTCCTTCCTGTCACCACATCAAATTCTCAAACCAGTATTCACAACACACAAACATACCACCTGCATCTTCCCGCCTGCTTCCTCTGCACTCTAAGTTGTGCCTGTGAGATGCCACATTCTTTGGGAACTGCAGCCAAAAGGGATGTAAGGGATTGTACCTGTAACATAATTGATGGGCAAGGAGAGAAGAAAAGGAGGAGGAAACAAATAACACTGCATAGCACAAAACTGAAGATGCTGCAAGTAAATCCAGTTGGGAGCCTTTGATTATGCAAAGCTGTTCCTCTCTCACTCTACTGGAAAGGGGAGACTGATCAGGAATGTTCAAGGTCCAAACTGAAGCTATAGATGTAAATATGTGGTGCAGTCTCTCCCTCAGGGGAACTTGACATTCCCAGGGATGTCAGCTAGAACCAACAGCAGAAGTTACTTCAGACAACAGAAGTTACCTCTGCAGGTAACACCTATTCCAAAACATCACTGGACTTCCAAAGCTTATTTTGGCTGAACTTCTCTTGACCCGCCTGCAGCTGTTCCTTGATTTAGCTGTGACAGCAATTTCTCTACTTGACCAGGTGCCTATGCCCAATTGGTTCTCTTTTGTTTACCCAAGCATGCTGCAACCATAAGCTTCATACAGACAGCAGTGACGAGCAGGCACTGCACAGAATGAGATATTCACAACTCTACAACAATGATGTAGTGTAGAGAAATGCAGGCCTGGTATGGGAGCAGTGGCCTTGAGAAGCAAAGAGACAGGACACAGTGGAGCGCAGGCACGGATAAACAGAGATGGCTTCTACAGACTCGGCATGGGACATCCCACAACTTGACAGAGGCTGGCTAAAAAATGCAGACCTACCTGCACAAAACTGGTTTTAAGGGTAACAGGAAAGAGATAGCATTTAACACTCAGTGCCTCTCATGCATTTGGAGTTACCAGTGGAGTTAGCTAACCACGGAGCTTCACGGAGTAACCAGCGAAGAGCAAAGTCACATTTTCAAGCATATAAAAATGATGTAGAGTGGATCCTTGAGCGGGCAAGATGAACCAGCCAACACGAGCACCGCATGCTCCTTGTGAAGGACACCTGATGTGACAGCTCCCCACAACAGCTCCTCACCACCACCAAGACGAAACCAGGGACCTCAGCACTCAGCAACAGTGAGGGTAACCGTAACTGCATTATTGCTCTTTCTTTTTTGTAACATTTAGATCCGAATTAAGAACACCTAATGGCTCAAAAAGTTAAGGAAAAAAAGTTGTAGTTTGCAGCTCATACACATTTTATGACATAAGTTTTTATTTAACTACTTGTAGATATTAAAAGTTAAGAAACACTCTCCAAACTGACTGTATCTTTGTATTAATTACTTTATAGTGACAAGTTCTCTCCTGCTTGTGCGTATATACACAACGCCACTCGGTCAGCATTCCATATGGTTAACACAGCTGCCTCTACGGGAAACTCTCACACACAAAAAAAGTTCACCGATGCGGCAGTGTCCAGGACGATATGCATACAACCACAGAGGCGATGCTCTTATCACCCAACCAGCAGAATATCCAACATCTGCATTTATCAAACGTGCAGGTATCCCTGTTACAGCACGAAGCACGTAGATATCACTATCACAGCACGATCTATAGCACCAACGCCCCATAAGAGAGAAAAAATAATTGATAAATCCACACCTGAGGCACTGCAATTGCACTAAGCAGCTATTACGCGGCTGGCAAATCGAGCCGCCTGCCCCTCACGGACAAACACACGCACAGCCGGGCCGGGCCGAGCCGGGCCTGGCGCGCCCCGCCTGCGACGAGGCCGCGAGCCCCGGCCGGGCCTGACGCCTGACTCAGCGCCGTGTGGGCCGTGTCACGCCGCCGCAGGCGGCCCGGGGCAGCGGTCCCCGGGGCGGGACAAGCGGGGAGGATCCCCGTACCCCTCACCTCTCCTCGCTCCGGTTCTTCTGCTTCTTGCCCATGGCGGCGGCACCGGCGCGCGGCCCCTCAGCGACACCCGCGCACCGCCCCGCGCGCCGCCCCGCGCATATGGCACCGCCGCGCGCCGCGCACGCGCCCGCCCCGCCTCGCGCCCGCCCCGCCCCCGCCCGGCCACGCCGCCCGGCCTCCGCGCGCTGGCGCCCCCCGGCGGCCGGAGGGGGAACGGGCGGCGCCGAGGCGGCCGAGCGGCTCCGGGAACCCGCCCGGATCCCGGCGGTCTGGACCGCGGGCAGACCCCGTCCAACTGGCGCCCCGGATTCCTAGTTCTCCTCCTGCCTCCCCAGGGCTTGCTGGCAGGATTGTGGCCCATTTGTCCCGAAACCTGACTGAACAGTCAAAATTAACACATGTTTGGAAAGGTTTCACCTGTAGGCAAATTGGATGGCTAGCTCGAAGTAGGGGAACGGAAAGGTAAAGGGGCAAGTTTTTAGGGAACGGGGCAGCAGGACAGTGATCAAGCGGTAGCTCAGGTGCAGGACATGCCCAGGACACCTCACTGCTCCTCTGGGCACACAAGTAGTTTTTCCCCACCCCTTCGAGGTCCATCATCCCCAGCACTCCCACACGCTGGAGGTGAAGTGTAACCAAAACTCCACCATCTGGCCCTGAGGTGACCGGCCTTCCACCTCACAGGGGGGAGCTGAGGAGGCAGCATCGTGTTTGTGACAATGACCAAACTCAGCTCCAGGGATGGAAGATGTTCCGTGGAACAACGCTCACAGGGACCACAGCCATCAATCTGTGTACTTATTTAATAGGCTCTGAGAGCTTCAGGTGATCTATTGTCATCACCCCATCACAGTAACTCCTCGAGCGGACAGAGCAGGCCTCTTCACCTTCCAACCCAACGATTGCTTCGCTCCCTAAAACCCTGACTTCTTATTCCTCTCTGCCTTTGAACAGCCGTAGCTCCTTATCAGTCTCTCCCACCCGGGAGACTCCCGGCAGACTGCAGATACGGCCGAATTTTATCTTCCCTGCCGCACCTTGCCCGTCAGCCCACTTCGGCACCGAGGAGCCAGATTTCAAAGAAACCACGAAAAGCACAACACTTGAGTTGTTTTGAGAACACGCTTTTTGGGAACACGCTTTAATAACCCATTACTTAAGGGGACACATCCCCCCCCCGGGAGGCTGCGGCCCCGGCACCACGTGCCCAACCCCGGGGCCCCGGGGTTGGGCGCGTGGTGCCGGGGCCGCAGCCTCTCGGGGGGATGTGTCGGCCCACCTCCCGCTACAGCCGCCAGAGCCTTCAGCAGCGCCGGGAAAAAAGAAGGCGGGGGACTTGGGACCTGCGCAGCGCCCGGGGCCGGCACCACCCCCGCGGCGTGAGGGGAGGGCGGGGCCAACCTGAGGGCGGGGCCACCCGGGGCGGCGCGCGGGAGGAGGAAGGGAGGGGCCAATCAGCGCGTCGGGAGGGGTTCCGCGTGCGCGCTGCCCGGCCAATCGGCGAGCCGGGCGGTCAGCTCCGCGCGCGCCCCGCCCCACCCCGCCCCTGCTTCCTCTCGCGATAGCGCGCGGCCGGGGCGTGGCCGGCTGAGGGAGCGGCGGTGCCGGCGCAGGGTCGGGGTCCTGGCGGCGGGCGGCGGCGCCGGGTCCGGCGGGGCGAGAGGGGCTGCTTCCCGGGAGAGCCCGTCCGGAGCTGGGTCGGTGCGTTGTCTTTTGTCTGTAGCGTTGTGTCCGTAGCGGCCCCGCGGAGGGGGGCGCGCTTGGCGCCTGCGCGGTGCTCCCGCCGTGTGCCGCCCCCTCGGCCGGGCCCCTTCCCGGCCCAGCTGCGGAACCGCGGCCCTGGCGGCGGTGCCGACCCCTCCGGCTGCGTAGGAAAATCTCGTTGGCACCCGAGATTCCCCTGGGGCGCCGGGAGCCCTCGGGCTGTGTTAGGTCCTGGCTGGGATTGGTCTTGCCTTTTCCTCCCTGTTGGGAGGACGAGTCTCCCTTTGCCCCACCTGAGCAGAGTTCCCCCCCTCTCCTGGAGACCTGCTGGCCTCCGATCTGCGACGGCAAGGTTCCTATTCCTTTTGGAAGTACAAGAAAGGGGGTTAGGGAACAGAGAAATTTCGAGGTTAGACTCTTTGGGAGGAGTGAGGGAAGGCGAGGTGCTGCGGGTCGGGGAGTGTGGCAGTGACACGAGTGGATGTGGCGGCAGGCTGGGCACTGCTGGTGCTGCAGTACGCTTGGAGTGCTGCCCTCGTGTTGGTACTTTGCCTGTCGCTACTTAAAGTGCTTTTCTTGCCTCTGTGTGCAACGTGTTTGTAGAGCCAAGGGCACTGGCAGCTTGGCTGCTTTGAAATACAGCCAGGAGTACCTTGGAACCCAAACTCAGGGTGTCAGAACTGAGCAGAGTGACACTGCACTGTCCCTGTTTCAAGACTGTCAGTCGCTACTCTGACCGTTTTCTGCAGTGTAAGTTTATTGGTGAGAACAGCTGATTGTGTTGTCACATCTCATCGTGCACCCCAATAAGTATATTGTGCCTTTTGATGTTGTTTTTTTTTTTTTTGGGTGGGTAGAACTTTACAGAAAATTATTTTGGCTGTGTTTCTTCACACAGCAGTAGGTAGTGGCTTTTAAATCCTGTTGCGGGCTGCCATAGGGCAGTAGCAGTTTTCTGGTACTAATTAAAACAGTGTATTGGCCTAAAGCATTTGCTCTTGAGCACCTCACCTTTCTTCTAGTTGAGGAGTGTTAATGCAGATTTAAATTTGTTAATATGCCTGAGGTGCTTAAAGTAATTGCATTTAAACTACTGCCAGAAACCTATATACTGAGCATTGCTTGGATTTGTTCTGAGACATCTTATATCTCCTGTACCAGCAGCTTGGAGCTTTCCAACTGCATCTTCTTGTTTCAGAATGTTTATTAAAGGTAGGTGCATTTGGCTCACCACTTTGGAACTGGTGATTTTTTTCTTCTTTATATTGACAAGCAGTTTTGGGTTCCCGTGCACTTTCAATATGTGGCTTTGGGGCTGAGAGAACAGGACTTGACTTGTATCTTTGTTGCCATCTGTGTTCCTTGTGGAAGTATTTTACAAAGGGGGTTTTAGTATAAAAAAGAACTGTTATCTTCAAATTACACAGTGTTTTGTTTCTCTAGGGTGTGAACTGCAAGAGAGATCAGGCTTTTAATTAATTACATAAATGTTAATTCTTTGTGTCACTATTTCCACAGCTCTGAAGAAATCACTTTCCAGCTAAAGATGGCTGCCGACACCCCTGTTGACATACTTCAAAAAGTTCTGGAGAATGAAATCCTTCAGTCTACGAAGGTTGTGGAAGAACACCTCGATGCTGAAATACAGAAGCTGGACCAAATGGACGAGGATGAACTGGAACGCCTTAAACAGAGGAGACTTGAGGCACTAAAAAAGACACAGCAGCAGAAACAAGTAATTCCTGTAGTACAGACTCTTGATGTGTAGCATGGGAAACCCTAGGGAAATTGTGTATGTGAATTAAGTGTTTTGGGGTTGTTTGCTGGTTTGGGGTTTTTTTTGTTCCTCCTCACCTTTCCATACTTACTTATTTTAAATTCTCCAGGAAAGCAAATGTCTGTCTATGTGTGCATGCTTTGTGTTTTTTAACAGGAGGAAGCACCTCTTGTTTACAATACATTTAGGATAAAGACTTTTGTATAGAGATTTGAGTGTGTCCATTTTCACTGAACTTTACTATCTGGAAGCGTGAACCTCGCAGGCAACCTATTCATAATCCTTTAGGCTCCTTTGTTTCTTTCTTCAGAAGCTTCCTTCTGAGGCTTCTGGATTTTTACTTATGGCATGTAAGTGATGCGTGCTGTTCTCTTACGGTATTTTGTAGAAGGATGATACTGGGTTTTTCCTTGTTCTAGGGTGGAATTGTTTGTCACACTCCTAACCCACTGAGATGCTGTCTTTATATGAACATTCACGTCTTCTTACGGGAAAGAAATTCTCCCTTGGTCCCTGATACCTCATGTCAAATTGTGGTCTTTATGCTCCCTCAGAAGTCTCTTTGAACAGTAGTTCTCACCAAAATTTCAGTAACATATGGTGTGAGACCTGCATTGTAAACAGGGAAGCCGTAGGTTTCTTAGCTTACGCCACCTGAGCAAACCTAACTAAAGAAATAGATTTTGATGGGGGAGAGGGTGAGTGTGTTGAAAGGAGATGCTCTGCCTGTGATGGAATCCTTAAAAGCTTATGCCAGGCGTTGAAACTGGAATGCAGTAAAATGGCATGGCATGGCATGACTGGGATGCTGGAGGACAGGCAGCATTAGCAGTTTGGATTCTCTAAATGCAGAAGTAGAGAAAGTGGCACACTATTTACTTGTTTTCAGAAGTTCAGTTTATGTTTGATTCTAGTGTTTTCCTTTTTCAGAAGTCATAACACTTGGATGTGAACATGTTATAGAGCTCATGCAAAAACACTTCCACGTCGTTTGGTCTTAAGTCATTGTTCTCATCCACTTTCAAATGCAAATGTGAAGTGGGATACTGCTCTGTAAAAGGAGTGTACTGCCACACTATTCCAGAATAAAATTGTGCAGAGGGAATTAATGCATACTCGCATACTCATCGTCATTTGCATCATGATGACTTTTTCATATGCTCATACTTCTATGAATTTTTAATGTATACAATATTCAGGAAATTCTTTGTTCTATCCTGATTTAGCTTACAGGATATTTTGGTTCGCTCGGAAGCCTTTTTTTTTTTTTTTTTAATCTTCACTCTGCTGAGACAAAATTGCAAGATGAAGAACAGTGATTTGTCAAAATTCCCCCTCCCATTGGAAACTAAAGGGTTTTGTCAAATTTTGTCGTACTGTGCTACTTCTAATCATCTAGCTTAGTTTATACTTCTTTTAATACACTACAATTAACTTTTAGTAATGTAGAGGCTGGATTCTTTTCCTTGAGTGTGTTTGTTGAAAATCTGGAAGATCAGTTTTTTGTAAACTGTATTTACACAATTAATCAGGCAGTTTTTGAAGTTACTTATAAATTTTAACTCATGAAATTCTGTTTCTCCCCTACATTTTAGGATTAATGGTGCAGATGTGTTTTCTGGATGGTTTTCTG